TGGAGATGACCTGCAGTACAGCTGGACTCAGCAGAGTCTGTCTCCATGGTCGCTGCTCTTCATCACTCAGCCACGCTACATCTGATGGAGTGATTCATTTATTTGTTGTTGTTACTTTGGTTTTTTTACACAAGTTCCTGCTATGTAGCCCAGGCTGGCCTCAAACTCATGATCCTCCTGCCTCAGTCTCACAAGGGCTGGGATTACAGGCATGCGCCCCATGTCCAAGTATACAATAGTTCTTGACTTACTTTTTCTCCACCCCAAAACACCAGACAGATACGACCCATTCCTGCTTCCCTATGGCAGGAATCCTCACTGCACTGGAGTTGGGGAAAAGCCATGGGAATCCAGATGGGCTACTTAGGTGGAGGTGGTACATCCTCTCTTTGAGAATTAATCACTCCTCTGGTTTAGTTGTAATGGAATTGTGTAGTTTTCACTGTATAACTTTTCAAATGCTTTAATTATTGAAAGATATTTCTTGATTTTAATGATAACATATGCTGATTACAGAAAATACAGAACACAGGTAAAATCACCCTATGCTCCCAGGAGAGTATAGCCACTATAGGTATTTGCGTATGTTGCCTTATACTATTCCTTCTACAAAAATATATAGTGCTTTAAAAAATAAACTGGGATAATTAATTTAGCCTTTATTTTCCACTTAATAATACAGACCCAGAGCTTTCTGGCAAGTTATTAACAGTTCCCTTAAACACCTCTATATAACCCTTTTTTAAAAGTTCTTAATTAAACCAGTTTTTTTTTTCTGGTATTGGGGATCAATAGTTTTTCTATTTTTTGTTGGAGGCTTCTGATGTTGCCCAGGATGGTCTTGAACTCTTGGACTTAAGTCATCCTCCTGCCTCTGTTACCCAAGTAACTGAGATTACATTGAAATTGTAATAGTTTTCATAAATTTCATCTAGTTTCCCCTAATTAAGCCTCCAGTGAAAACATGACAATTGATTATCTCCAGGAGACTGAAAAGGGTTTCCAGATCATTGCTACCAAACCTCGCTACCCTCCAGAAGCAGGCAAGGAGCTCTGTTAAATAAAGAAAACTAAGCTCCCTCCTCCACCTGAACCTGATGAAACAGTGACCTCCAGGGACCTGTTGCAGCCCACACTCCATCCTCAAGGCAACCACAGACACATGAGCACACACCACTCAACAGAAGTACACTCAAATCCCCCTCCCTGGAGGGAAACAAAATCTATTCTTGATGTGCTGACATTTTAAACAATATGAACTCATAATTAATCAGTATTTACTGTAGGACTGTGATGTATATAAATGGTTTTTGCCCAAAATTTAGCAAGTTAAAAGAAATTATAAGCCCACTACTTTCTAATGCTTTTTCACTAAAGTCCATGGGAACCTGGATTGATAGATGAATTGCTAAGTGTAACTCTGCCACTGGGGAAATAAAGGCAACTCTGTCATACATTTCTAAATTACACTAAGAAACTTCACTATATATTATCATGTACATAGGAGCATGTAACATATAACTAGAAAAGACAGGTAACTGGAGCTATAAAACAGTAAATGCTGTGAACTATCTTTTGCAGTTTAAAAAACAAATATACAGGCCAGGGATTTAGCTCAGTGGTTCTGGTGCTTGCCTCGCAAGCACAAGGTCCCGAGTTCGATCCCCGGTACCAAAAAAGCAAACAAAAACCCCACAAATATACATACAATCATTTCAGGAAGAGGTGAGATCCTAGGGGTTTCCTATGTAATTTTCAAATAGAACACATTGTTTTGCTGAGTCAGCATTCTTGATAAGCTGGGATAAGTGAAACATTTGCATAAAATTGCTATCTTGGGCTGGGGATTTAGCTCAGTGGTTTCGCCGCCTGCTGTGCAAGCACAAGGACTGGAGTTCAATCCCCGGTACCAATAAATAAATAAATAAAATTGCTATCTTTATGCAAGTTGTTACCGAATCTCTAGCTAATCCTAAAATTCTCTTTTCATAGAAAATATTGAGCTATAAGAGCTATTTGTGAAATCTCCAAAAAGATAATTACACAGTACTTCATTTTAAAAATTTTATTTTAAAAAAAGTAGTATGTCTATGCTAAAGAGAAGGAGGTACAGTTGGATAAGAGGGATAACTTCCAATGTTCTATAGAACAACAGGATTATTGTTAACAACAATTAATTATATATTTCAAAATAGTTTTAGAGAAGAGTTTGTGTGCCCAAAATAAAGCAATGATAAATGTCTGAGGCAATAAACATGCCAATCACCCTGATCTGATCATTACACATTGAATATGTATTAAAATGTCACACTGCACCCCATAAATATGTACAATTATTGTATGTCAATTAAAATAAAAATGTATTTTAAAAACAGGCAAGTGCACCAATGAAAAAGATAATTTTGTTACTAAATTCAAAAAAAGTAAAGTTTGAAACGCTGTATGTCGAGAGGTTAGCAATAACAGATTGAAAGCTCCACAAAGACCCATCTACATATTTCTACCTGGATGGTCCAAATATGTTCAAAACTGACCACATGCTTATATTTTCCTCTGACCCTACTGATCACTGAAACTTGCTCTTCCTCCTTACTCTCAACTCTGGGTGGAGATACTAACACCTACCCAATGTGTCAGGCTAGACTTCAAAGTTCAGAATCCCTTATTTGGTCTGTGATGCTCTCCCTCTCCTCGGAGAAGCCTCTTCAGATTCTTCTGCCTGCCTGCTCCTCTTCATGGCAGTGCTATCATATTTGAGCTGAGTATCCTTTATCTCTCTGTGCCTTCTTACTCCCACCAGAAAACAAGAATGATAACAAAGTGGAGAATTCATCATTACATGCTTAGCATGGTGCCTGATGCACAGTAAACATCCAATAAGTGTTTACAATTATTATAGCTGCAGCAGAACTCAGAACTCTTTAAGAGCAAGTAACAAATAACAATGATACAAACAACTCATTGTAATTTCATAATTTACTTATATCAGTAAATTGTGCAATTAATTATTAAGAGAGACCATAAGGTCTATGTTGGTAAGGACCTCACATCTCTATCCCTAATTTTTTCTTTTTTATGTGCTGGGGATTGAACCTAGGGATGCTTATCATGCTAAGCATGCACTCTGCTGTGGAACTGTACTCCCCCTGCTCGATTTCTTATACAGCTAGGCAGAGTAGGTATTTTTGTTGTTGCTGAATTAATGAACTTTAGATTTTACAGGATTCTCAAGTGCATCCCTTCAGGAACAAAATCATGATTTCTGTATCCTTAGTTCTCAGATCACATTCTCTGTCCCACTGACATCACTCAGCTTCTCATTTTCTCTTTTTAGTGACTTAGTGCTCTTGCCTCCTGATTTTCCTGTGTTTACAATGACTCCCTTTCCCTCTTCTTTGCTGAAGATTTACCTAGCCACTCACTCTGCCTAGAATAGTGTTCCACCCAACTGCCACCCAACTGGCTTCTACATATCTGCCAGGTCTCAGTTTAAAGGGAACTGCCACAGAGACAGCTTCCTTTTCAGTTCTTTTAATATTCATTTATTGAAAGGACTCCCTACCCATGCCATCATTCCCTATCATTGCACTCAAGTTTCATCAGATCATCAATCACACTTGATAATTTCTTGTCTATTCATTTGCTGATTTGTCTTCTTCCCCACTCTAGATCCCATGAGACCAAGAATTAAGCTGTCATGTTGGTCATTTTTATTCAGTTTCTAAAAGAGGGGCTAACACTTAATAGCCACTTTATAAATGATTGCTGAGTTTGACTGAACTGAGTGAATAAATAAATCCTTTGGGCCGGGGATTTAGCTCAGTGGTTCCGCTGCCTGCCTGGCAAGCGGAAGGACCCGAATTTGATCCCTGGTACCAAATAAATAAATAAATAAATAAATCCTTCAAGCCTTGGCAGAGGGTTTTCCTGAGGTTTTGATTTTCGTAGGAAGAATCACTCTTTTTCTCTTCACTGTACTGTACCTCCCTTACAGCATTCAACTGTGTCTCCTCCCACTTTATCATGTACACCTCAAGAGCAAGGACTGGGTTTTACTCATCTTTGTGTCCGTAGCCCTGGGATAGTGATTGACCACACATAACCGGTATCCACTGAATGTTTGCTGAATGAATAAATGAAAAAATCAAGCAGAACTCTAGCTCCCCTCTTCCCAACTCTGCTACTTCTAATTCTGGTCTTACTGTAAGAAAAACACCTACTTAGGCAAATCACCCCACAAAACAATAACAGGTTGGGTACAGTGACACACACTTATAATCCCAGCACTCTAGGAGACTGAGGCAGGAGGCTTTCAAGTTCAAGCCCACCCTGGGCAACAGAGCAAATTCTTGTTTCAAAATAAAAAATAAAAAGTTCAGCACTCCATCTAAAAATTTACATTTTTATTTTATTTTATTTTTTATTTTTTATTTTTGGTACCAGGAATCGAACTTGGGTCCTTGCGCTTATGCAGCAGGTGACGAAACCACTGAGCTAAATCCCCGACCCTAAAAATTTACATTTTTAAATAGGAGTGAAAGTTGCTTTATGACTCAAGGCTTATCCTGACTCACAACCACTTTTTCCTTATTATATTATAAAAATCCTTCCCACTTTCCAATTTTCAACAGAGTTTGATGGAAGGGATACTATTAAACCTAAGGATACAATTTCTTTTCTTTCTTTCTTTCTTTCTTTTTTTTTTTTTGTACCAGGGATTGAACTCAGGACCTTGTGCTTATGAGGCAGGCACAGTGCCACTGAGCTACATCCCTGGCCCCTAAGAATATAATTTTTAATAATATGATCACTAAACAAAGAGTTATACTCTAACACAATTATCTAACTGACCTAAATGGTTACAGTAAGAGTTTGATTTCAATTTAACACTCAGCTGTTTATCAAGGGCTATTAGATTATATAGCATAATATACCAATCATAACATTCAGGATGAGCCACAAGCCACTGAAATGAAAGAAAACAAAAACTCTATACTTACTTGTTCCGTTGGGAACAGGGTATTGATATACTCAACAGCATTGAAATCTGCTCGATCTAGAGGATCCTGACTTGGAAACACCTACATAAAAACAAGGGGTTATATGGCAAAACATCACATTGGACAGCAAAATACAAATATAATTTTTGTCAAATAGAAAAAAAATTTTTAAATAGAGGATTAGCAATAATTGATCTTTCTACCTTGTCGTATGTATTTTTTTCTTCCCTATTAGATGGTAAGCCCCCTGAGGAGAAAAATTCTTCATTTTATATGTGTCACACATAACAGATATTTCAATAAAATAGCTATTAAATAAATACTCAATAAAATATCTGTTAAAGTAAATCTTTAATTTTCAACATCTATAGTTTTAATATCTTGGCACAATGGACAGAACATGCAAACATAGTTTTGGGTTTTTTTCTCCCTGGTACCAGGGATTGAACTCAGGACCTTGCACTTGCCACTGAGCTAAATCCCTGGCCCCAGAATATGCAAATGTAAAATGTAAAATTTCATTTAATGAAATCTGAAGGAGAAGGAAAAGTCAGCAGGCTTTGTATACTGTTAGATTAAACCAGTTGGTAACATGGTTTATTAAGGAAGTCTTGATAATAGACTTATGTGCTAAGTCTCCATGATGTCTCAGCAGAATTCACTACGCATTGAAGTAATTTATTTTTTTTGGATGGGGAATCAAATGCAGGGGCTCACATGTGCTAGGCAAGCCACTGAACTATACCCCCAGCCTGCAATGAATCATATTTTATGCTGTAGACAGTGTCAAGAAATGAAGAGCTGGCATTCAGGTTTACAAACAAAACCCACCTTCTGAGAAATATGGCAAAATCTCTTTAAAATTCACAACTTGAAGAACATGTAATAAGGTGGGTTATAAAAGCAGTCAAGCCAGGTGTGGTGACACATGTCTGTAATTCTAGCACTGAGGGAAGCTGAGGCAGGAGGATCACATGTTCAAGACACACTACAACAAGTTAGGAAGATACTGTCTCCCAAAAGGGGTAGGGGTGTGGCTCAGTGGTAGAGTGGCCCTGGGTTTAATCCCTAGTACTACCAAAAAAAAAAAGCAGTCAAGCCAAACATGGGGACGTATGCCTGTAATCCCAGTACCCTAGGAGACAGGACTGCATGTTCAAGTCCAGCCTAGGCAACTTAGTAAGACCCTGTCTCAAAAATAAAAAATAGAAAATGACTAGTAATGCAGCTCAATGTGAAGGTCCTAAGCCTTGGGTTCAATTCCTAGAACCAATCAATCAATGTAGTCAAGTGATTTCCTGGGTACTTAATTTTATCAGCTCAGCATCAAAGGACCAAAATGTCTCCTAAGAAAAGTCAAAGAGAATTGTTAGAAGAGTTTAAGATATCCACAATGTGAAAGAGAGATGGAGGTAATGAAGGTTTGTTGGGGGTTTTTTTGTGGTACCAGAGATAGAACTCAGGACCTTGTGCTTGCAAGACAGGAGTGGTGTCATTGAGCTAAATCTCTGGCCCTGAAGGTATATTTTTAAATGTTTAGCATTTCTACAATATTTATGGCACAAATATATATCAGTGATGGTGAATCTTTTAGATAGAAGTGCCCAAACTGCAACCCAAAATCCTCTTATTTATCACAAAGTGCCAACACTACAATTAAACCTGAACACTGAGGTTTTAGTTTAGAAAAAAAGCCTCATACATTAACATCTTTTGTCTTAAAAGAAAAATAATACTTATGCCATAGGTTCTCCACCACTGTCATATACAAATGTAACTTCAAGCCACTGCAATTATATGCCCTCAACAGAGGAAATGCTGAGAAATCAGCCTGCCATGAGAATCTGCATCATCGTGAGTACAATGTAAGACATGTGAATTATCCACTCCCTCAAGGTTTCCTCAGTTTCTGCATTCCTCTCACTGTTCTCGGGTGTCATTCTAGGTTTCAATGTTTTCATATACTAACAAAGCTCTTAATTTAAGTCAGCTACTTTACCCTGTGATAACCACAAAAAAACTGACTGGCTGAAATGCTGGAGGAGAAAACTAACACTAGACTTATCAAACCGATGCTTATACAATATACTTTATAGGCAATTTAAGGAATTTCAAAGGTAACATGTCTATAGTAACTTTCATTTTATGCAATGACTTTAGAGCATTATATCATTATATCAACCCTTCCTAATTCTTCAAATATCACTGCTCTTTACAAGTATTGTTTGCAGAGTTGTAGGTGTAACTCAGTGTAACTAGTACATGCAATGCCTTTAGCTTGATCTCCAGCACTATAAAACAAAATATTCACACAACTATTATTTGCAGAATTTTACTCAATCTTAAACTACTAAAGTATGAAAATATTCTAAATTCATCTTGAGTCTACTTAATAGATAAGCCTACCCTACATCTCAAGCATACTTTTTAAAAATAGCAAAAACTATGCTCATCTGAATTCCTGTCAAATCATAACTGACTGCATTGTTTCTCCCATTAGAACCCACTAGGTCCAAGAACTACTGAAATGAATGTCTTTTTCTGGCAAAAGGAGGTGGGTGGTAGAGCAGTGTGGTCTGAACACAAGGTTTTTGTCCTAGGGTTTGGCATCCTCAGGATGTAACAAAGGTAGTTTGTAAAAGTAATCCAAGAGCTCCTAGAAAAACACCAATACAAAAGCCTACAAATGGAACAAGAAAAGTACATTATTTGGTATGGTGGCAGAGCCATGGTATTACCAGTCAATATATATTACTTACTAGTGGAAGTAATGTTTTACTCAGAAACACTATCCAGTGGTCGTTAAATAAGGCATAAGCGTTGTTGTTTTTTGTTTTTGGGGGGGGGTTTTGGTGCCGGAGATCGAACTCAGGTCCCTGCGTTTGCGTAGCAGGCGGCGAAACCACTGAGCTAAATCCCCGGCCCATAAGCGTTCTTTTTAAAAATCGTAACCCCATGGCAATTCCTTTAAGGGAGATTTTTCTGCCTTTATCCAGAGCAAAGCCCCTGTACAAAGACCCAATCACGACTTCTAATATAATCGTCCTTCAATTTTTAGTAAACTTGAAAAGGAAATTTAGTTTCCTGAAGTTCTGCAGGTAGGTGAGGCCTCTTGGGAATATTCTCCAACGTAACCCAAACAGCAGGAATTCTAAACCTTTTAAGTATGCTAAAGGGGCATTTTTCCAATATGTCCCTCTGCTCTGCTATTCGCTTCAAAAACTAAGGTCTCCCTCTGCTCCTAATTCTAAGCATGAGATACCGGAGCAGCGGCATTATCCTAGTAAAGAATGAAACCCCATCCGCCTAGAATCTGACGTTACCACTCAAGGGGCCCCTTCTTCTAGGTTCATCCTCTCAAGGTCATAGCTCCTTTGCCCAAACTCACCCACCAGGACGCCCCAGACTCCAAAGAAAATTAGGGCCTAGAAAGAATACTTTCTCTCCCCTGGCTCAGTAACCCATCCACCCCCTTCATCCCCCATACCTTCGCTTTCCCTTTGCGTATAGCTTCCACCCTAAGGTTCTAACACTGCTTCCTCCCTGGGCCTCCGCAAGCCCCACCACTCAGAGCTGCCCGGTCCTCCCCACTCGGCTTCCCTGAGGGGCGGAACGCTCACCTGCTCGATGGCTAGCTGCACCTCGGGGGTGAGCTGCAGCACGGCTTCCAGTTCCTCCACGAACTCCAGTTCCTCCTCCTCCATCTTCCGGCCACCGGCTCCTGGCTCACCCCCTCCCCTATTCCCTCACCTGGACCTCCAACAGTCACCCAGATCCCAGAATAGCAACCCTCCAGTTGCAGCACTCTGACTAGCCCAGGGCCTGTCAGCCAGTCCAGCACTTCCGGGAAGCCGGGCACTTCCGGGATCCGTGGCATTCTGGGATAGCGGAGAGCCGCCTTCTGGAGGCTTTCTTGTCACATTCCGGGAATCTTCTACCACCCCTTTAGCAGTGAAGTGCCTGCTTTCCCTCCGCCCGTTCTTAAGATGTTGGGGCGCCTCCCACTGAGGTCCTGGTGTCGGGGGAGAGCCTGGCCTCCAGGCAGGAAGCCTCAGTGAACGGCAGCGCGCGACGTCGGACGGCAATCCCTGAGGTCTGGAAGCGGGCGACCCTTCAGTTCCCTGGGCCTCCTGGGTTCGTGGCAGTAGGTGTTCCCTGCCATCGTGGATTAAATGACCTGTCTGATAAATGGCTATGTGGCCACGGACATTTGAGGATAGAACAGCGTCCCCTTGGTAGAGATAAATTCCCTGTTTGTCGGGTTTCTAGGCAGTTATTTCTGGGATGACTGGAGCTCCCTTTTGGGAAGGAGGAAAACAGATTAGACAAGACAGTCCCCAACTGGGGAAATGTTTACTTTCTAAGACTCTGAATATGGGGGAGGGAGTTCTAAATCCCTAAGTCCCCGGATAAACTGTATGATCTTGAACAAATTACACCGTGTGCCCTGCCTACTCTGCCACTGGATGTTGTATGTATTAAATATTAAAAGCGCTGTACAGATTTAAACTAGTAATACAGGAACTACTAGGGTGTCTCTCTCATATGCACCGCAAAGGGAGAAAGAAGCCAGATCACCCTGTGGAACCACTCTTCCTGCAGTGAGGGAGTTGCCTCCAAAGGAAGGGTTGCTTTACCAGTTGAATATTGTGAAACCCCATAATGGAAAAAGTCCTGGCCTCCCTGATCTCTTTATTTTTAAAAATTCTATCAGAATTATTTATAGTAGAGGATGTATCTCAGTGGTACAGCGCCTTCCTGGTAAGCGCGAGGCCCTGAGTTCAATTCCCGGTACCAAAAAAGAAAAAATTATGTACAGTAAAGAAAGAATGGAAACAACATAATTTATTTTATTTTATTTTAAATTTGACAAGTAATAATGGTATAAACTATAATTTCTAACCACAAACGGATACTTAAAATATAAATCGGCTCTACAATGGAATATTATTGATTTATAAAATCACATGTTTTGAAGATTAATGACATGGGAAAAGGTGCACAGTGTATTTCAGAAAGCAAAGTGTACATTTCAGAAAGCAAAAACGTACCAAAATTTGTGTGACTATAAAATGATAGCAAAGAAATATTATTTTTCTGCATTTTCCCAAATGTCTATAATGAGCCTAGTACTTTTTTTAACCTGCAGTACTTTTATAATCAGAAATATAAATACTATTTTTTAAAAGGAAAAGGCAATTATCTCTTGGGTTTTTTTAATTTTAAAAATTAAGATATTTACATACAATAAAAGTCATTATTTAGTTTACAGGGCCATGATTTTCATAAATATATAAAATCATGTAACCACAGTCCAGTCATAGGACATTTCTACCACCCCCCACACACACATATATTCTACCTCATGCCCCACCCCATCCTCTGGGGTGACCTGATTTTTATCCCTAGAGTTTGACTTTTCCAGAATATCATATAAATTATAACTGTAATCATACAACATGTAACCTTTTGCACCTGGCTTCTGTCACTTAGCATAATGCCTTTGGTATTCACCCATATCATTGCATGTAACAGTTTATTTCTTGTTCTTGCTGAGTGGTATTCCACTGTATGGATATACTGCAATTTGTTGGGTTCTTCCCAGTTTGGGGCAATTATGAATAAAGCTACTACAAACATTCATTGTAGATTTTTGTGTAAATGTAAATTTTCATTTTACTTGGGTATATATTTAGAAGTGTGATTCTTAATTGTATGGTGTGTCTGTGTTTATAAGAAAATGATAAACTGCTTTCCAAATTGGCTGTATTATTTTCACATTCCTACCAGCAATGTATGAGTTTTGATTGCTCATAGACCTTATTTTTAATGATGATGATAACAACTAACATTTCCTAACTTTTACTAAGTGCCAGACACCATGCTAACCACATTACTGTCCCTTTACTATCCACAGCAATTTGAAGTTGCTAGTTGACATTATCTTGATTTAACAGAGGAAATAGATCTAGGTAAAACAAACCAACAGAAACTTGCCCAAGGTCCCACAGCTAAATTTGTCATTCATTCCCTCATTCAATAAATTTATTTGGGGCTGGGGATTTAGTTCAGTGGTTCCATCGCTTGCCTTGCAAGGGCAAGGACACGAGTTCAATCCCTGGTACCAAAAAAATAAATAAATTTATTTGTTGGGTGTGGTAGTGCACACCTATAATCTCATCACTTTGGGAGGCTGAGGCAACAGAATCATGAGTTCAAAGCTATCCTGGTCAACGTAGCAAGTTCAAGGCCAACCTGGACAATATAGCAATACCCTGACTCAAAAAACCCAAATAATAATAATATGTAAATTTATTGGACATTTGTTCCTTTGGTGAGGGGCATTAGGCTGGATGCTGGGGATTCAGCAATGAACAAAATAGACCAAGTATCTGCCTCCAGAAATCTATTTCCATGTAAGAAAAGGGTATTCATACAAATAATCATATGGTCAATCACAAGAGACAAATGTACATATTAAGAGACTCTGTTGATGGACTGTTGGATCTGCAGTCAGGGAAGGCTTCTCTGAGGAAGTGATTTTTGAGCCAAAGCAAAGAGTGAGGAGAGGGGGCAGGGGATAACAAACCAAAGGAATAGTATATGCAAAAGCCATGAAGATGAAAGAAAAAGGTCAGGGTGACGAGGCCTTGAAAACCAAGGGGAGAATGGTGTAAGAGGAGGCCAGAAAAATAGGCAGTGCCAGATAGTAGAAGGTACTGAAGATTGTGTTAAGGAATGCAAAGCCTTTGAAAAATTGTTAAGTAGAGGTGTGCCAGGTTCACTATGGCTGTCATCAGCCCTAGCCCCTTCATTTTTGTATCTCTGCTTCTGAGCTGCCTACATTATTGTAGAGAATCTGAAACCAGGGTGACCACGTCCAGTACAAACTGATGCTATCTTATTTCCATCAATTGTGCTTTTATTCATTCATTTTCGAGTGTCAGTTACATTCCAAACTTTTCATCCTCTAAAGCTCTCAAACTCCATTACATCCATTCTCTTTCTTTGTAGAATCACTAATAATAATGAATATAAGTTTAAGAGAGTTATGCAGTACAAAAAAAGGAGTTAAAGCAGAGGTACAGGTGCATACTAGGTGAAAAAAAATCTGCATTATGCCAGGCATGGTGGCACATGTCTATACAGTAATCCCAGCACTAGGGAGGCTGCGGTAGGAGGATCACTGCAAGTTTGAGGCCAGCCCAGGGTACATAGTAAGTTGAAGGCCAGCCTAAACTACATAGAAAGACCCTGTCTCAGAAAAACAAGCAAACAAACAAACAAAAACTTGCATTAGGATAAGTAATAACAGACTAGACTGATTGTTTATAAGTGAAAGAGGGAAACATTTTAACAGGAATAAACCTGGAAAGCAGATTATAAATAAAAACTTTTAAGATAAATAAAATGTGGAAGTTTATGGATATGAGAAATTTGAATATGAGAGTGAGGACTATGCCAGATTCTTACAGTTGAGCTGTGTTTTATTGTTTAAAAATAATTTTCTCTTATGCTGTGGAATAGAGTATAGCTGATGACAAAGTATTATAGAAAACATTTTCTACCTTGAAATCTTACCACTTGAGGCATATATTCAGTCTCTAATATTGCAGTCTAATACTTTAAAACAAAGCAAAACCAAACATTGAAGAACATATCCTTTAATAAGCAATGGAAGAAGAGTGAATTGGAAAGCAGGTGTCCAGCAGTTTCTGAGAGAGTTGTGTGGTGCATCCGTGAGGAGACATCAAAGTGAGATGGAAAAACAAACCGCCAAGTGAGAAATTCTCATAACATTTCTCTCTGTGCTAAAAAATTGTTTTAAAGATGTAAGATGTATTAATTGTAAAATAGCCTCTGTTAATGAAATCCAATGATAGCTCTAAATTTCATGTGTCTCTGTCAATTTAGTATATTTACTTGTTTATTGCCATACTGAAGATTGAACCCAGAGCATTTGCACTAAGCTACATCTTCTCCCCTTTTCTCTCTCTTTCCTTTCTTTCTTTCTCTTTCTTTCTTTCTTTTTCTTTTTCTCTTTCTTTCTTTCTCTCTCTCTTTCTTTCTTTCTCTCTTTCTTTCTCTCTTTCTCTCTCTCTCTCTTTCTTTCTTTCTTTCTTTCCATTCTTTCTTTTGACAGAGTCTCACTAAGTCACCAAGTTGCAATCTTCCTGCCTTAGCCTTTCAGAGTGCAAGGATTAGAAGTGTATTCCACCAGGTCAAGCTAAAACAGGGTCTTTATTCTATTTAAGCTTCCCTCTCAGGTTGAGTGTGTAGCTCCATACTAGAACACTTGCCTACAATGCATGAGACTCTGGGTTCCACCCCTCAGCACCGAAAAAAAATTTCAGGATGTCAGAATTACCTGGTCTATAACTACTAAGTGCCAGTAGATAACCATCTTCTGCCAACAACACCCCCATAAATTTCCAAACTACCCCCTGAGGCTCTCAAGCACAATCACATTTAGATCCTGTTGTCACAATGGGTGAACAAAAGCTCCCAAATCATCTAGATCATCTTGCAGTGGAATAACACACTGTGTGTGTGTGTGTGTGTGTGTGTGTGTGTGCTGACAATAATTGAACACAGGACCTCAAGCACACTAGGCAAGTTCTCTGCCATTGAGCTACGTCCCTGGCCCTCTAGTTTAATTTCTATGTGAAACCTTGCTCATAATGTTTTGTCAGTGTCTTTTTAAAGGGCTGTTTGTAGTACATGCTTTTCATATAACTGGTTCTTTTGCTTTCTCTCATTTCTGAATTTTCTGAATATCCCAGACACTAGTATTTGTTTTGAATGACATCAGAAGATTCCAGTTGTATCCTAGGTACCAGTTTTGATCCAGTTGGTACTCTGG